CCTGAGCTCGAACAGGAGATGCTCAATGCCACAACGGCAGAGAAGATCCGGAGTAAGATCGATCCTCGGAAGACCCAGAAGATTGAGAAGTATAATCCTGATGGCATCTACTCATCTGATGGGCATGGTACTTCGCACGTTGTCACTGCAGATGGCGACGGTATGGCTGTGTCGCTGACAACCACCGTCAACCTCATCTTTGGATCTTTCCTCATGGATCCTCTCACTGGTGTGATTCTGTAAGTTTTACCAACCTCTCTCCATTTTGTACTTAGACTAACCATCGTAGAAACAACGAGATGAATGATTTCTCTATTCCAGGAGTCCCTAACGAGTTTGGCTTCGCCCCAGCAAAATCAAACTTTATCCGTCCAAACAAGCGCCCCCTATCCTCATGCACACCTCTCATCGTATCCAACAAAGATGGATCTCTCTTCGCCGTCATTGGCGCCGCAGGAGGCTCACGTATTATCTCTGCCACTACTCAAGTCGCCTGGCGTGTATTAACTTCTCCATCATGGTCCATCAAGGATGCTGTTCGTGAGCCCCGAGTTCACAACCAGCTCATCCCGAATGTGCTGCTCGTGGAGAAAAAGTTCAGTTCATATGATGTTCCATCTCTGGTGGAGCGAGGACATAATATCACTTGGGTCGATGAGGGACTTAGTACAGTTCAAGCGTTGACGAGGGATTCAGCTGGTGTTTTTGAGGTTGCGCCTGAGCCTAGACAGAAGAACAGTGGAGGCATGACACTGTAAAGAAGAGATGGGAGCATACATGGTTATTATTCCCGATTGAGCAATCAACACTTTCTAGAAGGATACAGCATACAATATAGAACATTGACTAGATTATGCCCAAGCTTTGTGCTTGCTATATTAATTTCTCTAAGCTGTCTTTTCTCCCGCTAGAACCTTAGAAGAGGGGTATCCTTTGGTCTATCTCCAAAAAGTCTACGCTTCTCGTTTCGCAAGTGACACCAAACGTGCCAGCTGAACCGTCCACTTCTTTGCAAACTCCTCTTCGGTGAATCTCTTTGCCGACTCTCGTGCACGTAGGCGAACTGCCAGAGGATCTGGTAGTGACAAAGCCTTCTCGTAACCCTCTGCGAATTCTTCTTCTGTCGTTGCGTGGAAACCTATTCCGTTGGTTAGCAAGATCTCAATATCACATTTTCAGTCAGCTTACCAGTTGGCTGGCCATCGATTGGCACGACAATATCGAATTTGGGCCCAGCACTGTCATGAACCACGGAAATGAGCCCAGCAGCTTGGTATTCAACAACACCAATTCCGAAGTGCTCATTCCACATGCCATTGACGCCAACGGATGCTCTTCTTAGCCAGTCCAGAACGCCTGACCATGGGGCATCAAGATGGAATTTGACACTGTCTTTGATGCCAAGCTCATTGGCCAGAAGTCGCAGCTCATAAACACGTTTTGAGTCTGAGTCATCTCGGACGCTTCCAATGAGAATCAGCTGTGCTCCCTTCGATGCCTCGCTCTTGGTCTTAAGGAAGGTAGCGAATGACCGCAGGATGAGCTGGTGGTTCTTTTCGGGTCGGAACTGCGCGAGGTAAACAATCGCTTTTTCTCGTCGCTTCTCACTCTCTTCGGAAACTTCGACTTCGCGCTCCATCTCTCGGACTGCGGTGGGAGGGTAAACAACTGCGATCGGATCTGTCTTGCTCTTCTGTTTGCGATAGGGGCCCCATAGGCTCTTGATATGACCTTGAGTCCAAGTCGAGTTCGTCATGACGATATCAACCGTTGAGCCAACCCAGGAGTACAGAACGGCAAAAAGTTTCCAGTAATTCTTCTTGGCGAAACCCTGAGCTCCAGCACCCTTTCCAGCATGTGCGCCCTGAGTTCCTGAGGCAGCCGTTGAATCAAGCGAGTCAAGCATGTCGGTAGAAATCGTGGGATAGTGCACATACGCCCCCGTCGGAACATTGGGGAAGAGAAACTTGCATAGACCGAGAGCGAAGGCGTAGCCCATCGTGTCGACAAAGACGTCCGGGACCAGTAGTGAGAAAGCGTCCCAAGCCAAAACGATCGAGCCGATTGATTGGCCGAGCAGCGTAAAGTGAGGCCATGTCGAGGGGAGTACCCAGTCTCGCTTGGAAAGGTAGAGGAACGTTATCGTGGGAGCATGAAGCTCAATATTGAATCTTGTCTAACACGGTGTAAGCATGTCGTGGCCCCAGGGTCAAGTTTCCAGGCCGTATACCTTGACTCGATTAAGGATCGCATCTTTTGTCACGTTGTGATCGCCTGTGTACACCACACATTTGGCCTTTGGCCAACGATCTTGTGTGGCCCGAATCGCGGCCCAGAGCACTCGCTCTCCGCCACCTCCAGCATTGCTTCCTCATATTAGCTAGGTCCCATGGTAGCTTCTATGATAACATACCAGAACGGATGGAAGAAACCAACGATCCCGGACCAGTCCTTTTGGGAGCTCAGCGTGTTTTGAAGGTTATCGTCGACGTCGAATACGAGTTTCGTCGCTGCGGTGCCTCGCGGGTCCTTGGCGCGGGCATCTGTATCCTCCTTTGTCATGAGGGTAACAAGATGTGCGCGGCGGCCTTCCGTTCGTTTTCGAAGCGACCATCCTAGAAACCGTCGTAGAAGCCCGCCTATTAAGGGCAGAGCGATCAGAATGGCCAGAGGCACAAGCGTCGCTATGGACGCCATAGTCGTGGTCGTCTTTCGCGGTCAGGAGATGGGAGATCCGGGAAGGCTGTTCGGGGGAGTCGCAAGAGAATCGAGAAGATATGAAAACCGTGTAAGGAAAATGCTTCGACCAGCGATATTTATATGGCTTCAGGGGCGTGAGGCTGTCAGCTTTTGGTAGCGAGAGGCTACCATGAACGAGAGTGTGTGGGATGACAGTGTGACGTCTCCAGCTGGCCAGACCAGGTCTCAAAAGGTTCAGGTTGGTGGGGGATAGGCACTGACACCGCTAGAGGAACCGAAGCTAAGCTTTTGGATGCTGCTGCAAGCTCCAAAGCTGCCCTGTTCAGTATCTGACCCACCGTAGCTGCGCAAGCTACAGGGGGTTGAAGGCTTCTGACCCTTGTCACTGGACCCCTTCTTTAGATTCGGTAGCCCGCGGAGAGAACTTATGATAGCTCTGCTCCGATTGAGGGTATTTGCAGGCTCCAAAAAGCTAGAAAGTACATCACTTTAAGAATACGAGATCAAGGATTGGACGGACCAACCAAGGCTTATCCTGCGTTCAACGGCATAATTATGGTCAAGGGACTTCCTTATTCAATCATAAGGCCGCGTCTTCTCAGTCAACGCAGAGTTTATTCTGGTCTGAAGAACTTTTCAAACAAATTCACAAGTACGGATACTTGTATTGTCATCAATAATGAGGGTTGGCTATCCTACGCGTTCCTTTCTAAGCTTATAATGATATTTCCTTGTGCTATAAATACTAGGTAGGTAAGAGTATGGTGTATAAGTGGGTAGGTAGGCAAAGTGCATCCTGTCGACTTTCAAGAGAGTTGTTAGATCATGCTACAGAAACGGACTCAATAAGTCAAGGCTAACCCTGATCATATGATCATACTTGGATAGGTAGAAGCATAATAGTAAATATATTGTATCTCACCGTTATCCTGCATTGTGGTTCTATCACGACAATCGAGACATTACAACGATGAAATGTTAGCGCTGATTGGCTGCGAGCTCAGAAAATTAACCCCAGTTCAACTTCATCTCATGGACTTTCGAGACTCACTCATACCATCACCAAATCCTCAATTGCACCAGCAGCCACGGGGCTATGGATCAAAATGTCCCTTCTTATACGAACTACTCAATCCATATCGCCTCAAGCTAGGCCATCACTCTCAGCCATCAATATAACACGCCGCATCTCACATCCAGCCAGTCTCAGCTCATTAACATCATTACCATGCGCCAGCCGCAGAAACTTCTCCGTCGCTTCTGCGCTCGGTGAAACAGTCACCATGACAGCTGATGCCCTCAGCTGGGCTCACAGCGCTGGTGTGCCATGGTATGTGGCTATCCCACTACTCGCCGTGGGCGTCAACGCAACCATCCGATTCCCACTACAACTATACAGCGCTCGTTTGCGGGAGGCTAGAAAACCACTGGACCCTCTTATCACAGCTTGGACTCGTCGGCATATGACGGATAGGAGCTTGAATGACCCTGCAATTCCAGAGCGTGTCAGATTGCTTCGCATTTCAGGTGCTGTTGAAAATTCAAGACGGAGAATATTAAAGACCTGGGGTCTTCAGCGCTGGAAAAGCATGGCGCCTTTACTTGGAATGGTTCCCTTTGTCACCATATCTGAGGCTCTACGAAGGAAATGCGGTGCACCTCTGGGTTGGGTCAGTCACAAGATTGGCCTGGGCGATACTGGTCTAGGAGCCTCGAGCAGCATGTTTGACCAGTCCTTGGTAGACGGAGGCTTGTTCTGGTTTACCAACCTAGCCTCTGCAGACCCTTATTACGGACTTCCTATCATCTGTTCGGGAATTCTGGTCTGGAGCACATGGGCGAGGATGTCCAAGGAGCAACTCCAGGCACTATTACGAATCCAGCCCCCAGGCGCAAAGACTATGATGGTCACCTCCAGGCTACAACAACTTCTGGGCCGTGTCATGCTTATGATGCCCATATTACCACTTCTCTTTGCCGATTTACCAAGCGCCATCTTCCTTTACTGGGGCACATCATTTGCCCTTACCCGCGTCAACGAATTCTTTATTCAACGCCTTGTTCCACCAAAGACGCCAGACTTGAGAGCACCTAAGCCGTCGACAGAACTTCCTTTCGTGCTTAAAGACCAATCACAGATTGTAAAGACATCTGACAAAAAGGACAATTGATTAAGCGTTCATCTGTAACTAGAAATGTGTACTCATGGGGAAAGTTCGATGTATACCTAGAAACTCCGATTGACGCCTTAAGAACAAGAACTGGCCACCCATGATCGTCAGACGCTGCGCTCTAATAATCTAGTCAAGGACAATAGCCAGAATAACAATGGTCAAAATGACGGCGAGGATCAGCAACAGGCAGCAGCTCTTGTTGCGGGCTGCCTTCTGATACCGCGCGGCCTGTCGGTTCTCAACATCGGCTTGCCGCGTGTCGTCACGGACGTTCTCCACGTTGTCCGCAATCGTTCCAAGCTGCTCTCCCTGCTCATTGACGATTTGCGCTACTTGTCGGAAGAGAACATTCAAGTCGCCGACACCCTGCTCGATGTTGCGGATCTCCTCCTCGCGCTCAATGATCAGAGCTTCCTGGAAATCAACCTCGTCTTGGGGTGCGAGCTGAGAGACTTGTTCTTGTTGCTGTAGTTGCTCTAACTGATTGCCGGACTGAGGACCTTCGGCGGGTTCGCCCTCCTGTGCCGCACGAGCGGCGGTAACGGATGCGCGCTCTTTCTCGAGGGCTTTTCGCTGAAGGCTTTGGAACTCTTGGAGCGCTGCTTGAAAGTCGCTCGAGACCTTTGTTTGTTCGTATTTTTGTTGTTTCTAGATAGAATTAGTATGCGACAATGAATTCGAGATGTGTTCGACATACTGTCAAGTCCTCCCATGTCTGAAGACGCTTGACACCCTCACCAATCTCTCTGCACATATCCCTCGTCTTATCCATGCTGTTGTGGACTCGCTCCCGCAGGCGCGGAGTATCCTTTCGGGTTCCCAAGACATTGACATCGTTGGCAAGTTTTCTATTACTGCTGAGAAGGGTTTGAAGTTTGCTCTTGAGATCGTATTGAAGTTCTTGGAAAGCTGGGTCGTCGCTGTAACCGCCGCGGCGCCCGGACTCGAGATTTGAGAGTTGATCGTACGACATGATTGTGGTTTATGGTGTTTCCAATTCGAGGTCGAATGCAAGAGTTGCTCATTAAAGAAGATAACTAGGTTGTGTTGATGCAAGACAAGAAAGTGAATGCGCACACAAGCATCAAATCAAAAGTCACCTGCTGCCTTGTTCCAGTAGAAGGTGGCTGAGGTTATCAAGTTACAGCACCCTGCAAACATACGTAATTGGGCATGAGTCTCAGTCTAGCCAACCAGAGCGGGGCCGGACCTGGTGCTATCAGCACGTGACAGATAATGACGGAGCTTGGACCTTAGCGTTTCTGCGAGTGGTTGCTGCTTGGAGATTTTTATTATTTACTTGGGTCGAGCTTAGAGCGTCCACTGTTAGTCTCTCTTTGAATCAACCACGACATCATCGCCCAACAACGTCCCAAGGTCTTCTTTATCCCGGGGATGCGCTGTCAACATGGCGCCTACCACGGTTAGAAAAGCGCCTTATAAGGACTTTCTACAGCCTGCTCTTCACAGGCGATTCACTTCTACGGCGACTGTTTTGCTGCTTGTGTCCTATTTGCTAGCAGTCGTCCTGGACGTCTGGAAATCTTGCAAGTCAAATTACTTTGAGTTTCCATCTGCGCCTCCACTAATTTTCATTGTTTAGACTTTTGGTCCTGGTTTCCCATTGGTCCTGTTGGCATACGAGCCGCCTTCATCTTCACATGTGGCCTTGCGATCGTCGTTCTCCGAATAGCAAACTACCACGTTGGCCTACGAACCACTGGCCCCGGCTTCCAGACCTTCCGCAGCACCATCACTCAGCTTCAGACATACGAGACTTTGTTTTGGTATGGCTTCTCCAGTTTACTGTTCAGCCATGTGTTCCTGTGGGTAATGCCCAGGGCGGCAAACCTCTCTTGGATCACTTACTTCAGCGGTGACCGTGCGAGACTGAACGAGAGGCCGCTCTTCTTGCTTGCATACATGGTCTCATGTGCCATTACACAAACATTCAACCATTACCGAAAGGACACCGATCGTCTGGTCCTCGCATCGTCAAAGGGCAAGAACGAGAAGCAGCCCGATGCGTTGAAGCTGCTGATTACTGCAGTCCCAGCAACCTTTGGCGCTTCCCTTTCTGGCGCTGCAAGTGCGCTGCCTGTCGCCTTGATTCTATACTACGCCATACTACGATCTTTCATCTGGGGATGGGCGCTAATGTTCTTGCGCATCTTCTATAACCTGCCAAAGACCAACATGCTCCCGCCTAGTTGGCCGAGTGATCTTTGGCTTCTTTTCCGATGCATAGAGGCTGGAACTTTCGTGCATTTGATCTGGAATATTGGTAACTTTGCTTTCTCGAAATTCATGGTCAAGGAGCCCCTGAAGAACGGCAAGCCTCTTACCTCTGAGTCCAAGGACCCCAATGGCAGTCTTTTGAACGGCCTCAAGAGCAAGAAACTCTCGATCAAGGTGAGATTCGTCGCATACACACCTTCAATGACTATTACTAATTATATACAGGCATTCGCAATGTGGGAGCTTGCAATCATTGCGCAAGGCTTTGAGACCCGCCGACAGGCCATCTACGAAGATATCGATCGTAAGGATGGACCTATGTGGTCTCAGGTTTACGCCATCTGTATGGAAGTGGTTAAGTCCATCGAGACGCGAATTGATACTTACGGCAAAGTTCCTGATGCGCCTCCCGCTGCGCCGGCCCCGGAACCCAAGCAGCGAGTATCTGCTCCTCTTCGCGACGATCCTATCTTCAACAGCCGAGCAACTTCCAAGACGATGCTAGATGAGGTTGAGAAGCGATTGGGACAGGTCGCGCGATCCCCTGGCGAGTCTCCTGTCTCCAAGTTGAGCCCTATCGCGAAGAAGACATGGAAAGAGGCCAAGGACCGGGTCTTGACCAAGGAGCAGCAGGAACTTGTCGCTCCCGAGCATATAAAGAGCCAGTTTGAACACTGGACTCTCCAAATGATGGAGATAGACGCTGTGGCTGCCCTGTTCCAGCAAGACTTCCGAACCCAATTTGCTGCTGCGGTGCTGGGCACCCCATACGCCGAGCCTACGCTTTGCATCAACGCGATCAACGTGCTTCACCATCTCTCGGTGCACAGCTTGGCGGAGGATCAGTTTGGCAACGTGCACAGAGATGTGCCAAGCATTATCCGAACCTTCACATCAGTTATCAAGAAGCTGGAGGCCTTCCGCCTGCAGTTTCCATTGCACTGGACTGATGTGGCGGGCAAGAGGATCAGCCCCGAAGTGGAAGAAGTTGTGGATGCTTTGAAGATTGCTCTGCAACAGGTGTTGGTCAAGTTCGAGCCTTATAGCAGCGATCTTAGACTGACGCTGACTGATATTCGCTTGGCAAAGGAGGCTTCTGCGACTGCAAAGAAGTCTGAGATGGCAGAAGTGGAGCGATAGATAGATTGAGGGATGTAAAACGCAGGCATATCGGTTAGGATATTAATGTATTATGATACCATTGTAACAGTTTGATACACGAGAAAAGTAATTGCAACTATAAAGTATTACAGGAGCTTCACACGTGGAAGCTAATACAGTGTAATTAAAGATAGTGGGGCCGCAGTGGTACTGTATCAAAACACAGTACCCTTGCTCAAAAGCACTGTAACTCCAAGGGTCCTCACCAACTGCCAACCTCTTTTCTGTCCAACTCTGGTTACATCAATCGCATCATCACCAATAGGTCCGCCTTTTGGACATGCCATTCTCAACCCAACCCCCTCAACAACTACAGTGACACCACTTCCTTACTGTAGTATCTTCATTCACTCGTTCAAAATATTCTTTAACCTAGTCATGTCCCACTCTTCATCCCTTTTCTTATTATACTCACGATCCCGGTCATAGCGGCCTTTGATTGCATCGCAGCGCATTCGCAACTGCGGCTTTCCTGTGCCCATGGACTAGGAATATGGCGTCTCCCGTTTCTCATCGACGGCTTGTCGCCGCTATCGTCTACCGAACTCTCTACCTTCTTCTCTACGTCTGTCTTTTAGGACTGCTAATAGCTACCCCTGCCGACGCCATTCATCGCTCGTTCCAAAATCGACAGCTCTACAACATCTGGATCGTGATCGCCGCCTACGTTCTCGCCATCGTTATTATTTCCTTCGTCTTTATCACCCGTCTATATATCAATAAGACCGATCTTGGGTCGATACCGAAAGGATGGGTACCAATCGAGAAGGGGGATCTTCGCTCGGCTGTCTATAACGTCATTGCGCTGGGTCTTGGACGAAGTGCATCGATCGCATACGAATCGCGCCCCAGGCTTCAAACAGACAACGCTGCACCGGATGACGAAACTGTCGAAACAAGGGTTAAACTGGGTTTTGATGGCCCCAGTGGTCCGGCGGAGGAGTTGGTGGTGGTGATCCCTCGTAAAACGCCTGTTTGGGGAGATATTGAACATTATGGATGGTCCTCACCTAACGCTCCGGATTTACCGAACCTCGAGTACACCACTGTCTTCTCTGAACTACCTAATCTGATCGAGGGTAAAGCTTTAACTCTTGCGCCTCCTGACCCGACCTCCGATACGAACCCACCGTTGCTGGACCCAGATGCAGTAGCTCTTCTTCAGCGAACCGCCAACATGAGCCTGCGCGACTACATAGTTCACCTGGCTGACCTGGGGGTAATCGAGATGGATTCAACCACTATCGAATTTCTTTCACACTACGAATACGCACGCTTCTCGAATCGACCAATTTCCAATGCTCAGTTTAAGGAGCTTATGCATCTTTTTGCCGAGATTCTTCGCGCCATGGAACCCCTGGATCCAGATATTCTTGACGAGCAGGATGATACATCCTCACCCTCTACCGACGGCGATGATGATGCTAGATCCCGCCTAGGCACGTCTCGCAGTAATTTAGCTCCCTCAGACGCTAGCATCAGCAGCTCTGCTAGAATAAGGCGCCAACCATCCACGAATACCTGGAACGTTTATGAGACTGCTCCTAACAGCGTGAGGAGCGGGTTTACAGGGCCAGGATCTATATCACGAAGGCTTAGCAATAATAGTCTTGCTCGAAGTCGGCGTCATTACCCCATGAGCCAGCCATCAACCTCCAGCCTTCGATCCAAGTCATCAGCTAGCTCAGGGTCTGTTATTCGACTTGCTACACGGCACGACTCAACAGACCTACCTTACGTTCTCAGCTTGAGAGACACAACGGCTAGCTACTGACAGCTTGTTTTGGGGGTGCGGCGATTGGTATGGCTGTTTACGTTTACGAATTTATGACCAAAAAGTATTACAACGGAGTGCGGGATAGAGACTGTTTAATTTCCTAATGTTAATCAATTCCAGTATATATCTTCTAGACTCATTATATAAGACAGTAAAATATTCAAATATATATCCTTCAATTCTTGTATGTTACGATTATGAGCTCTTATGTCACCGTTCATGTCATCGTTGCAGAAGTCGAAATTCTGATAAGGATAGCAGTGATAAGATAAGCGTCCGCTTTTTTTGTCGCATGTGAAATTATTCTGCCAAGTACTCTCTACCAAATCCAAACACCACCAACTTGTCCAACTCAAGCGCCAATTACCTCTCACGATAAGTCCGAATTATCCTAAATACATTCTCTACTGAGTTCTTCTCAAGTTGCGCACGTCACTATTCCTCCAACACACTGTGACACAAGACACAATGGCACCTGAGCCCCCGCCACCTCTCCCAGTCGCAACAAACCGCGATGCAATCGCAAACACACTTTCACTCCTCCTCGCTTCCAGGAGGTCCATAGGGAAATCTATGCCCCTTACCCGTGATCTGCCGCGCAAGAAACGCACTCTGCCAGACGACAACGATGACGATCTTACTCGCGGCGCACGACCAAATGAAGGATTAGGCTATGTTTCTGAGAAGAAAGACGTTCAAAAGTTTGCCAACTCAAAAGAAGAGAGGATGTTAAGGGGCAGATTGAACAAAGATGCTAGGGGCAAGTTTAGGAAGAAGGTTGAGGAGAGTGAGAGTGAAGAGGAAGCGGGACGAAGTGCGCTAGGGAAAAGAAAGAGGCCTAGGAAGGAGAAGGAGGCTGAACCTGAGCCTGAGTCTGAGAACCAGACTGCTTCTGTAACAACTGAGGACAATGAGAAGAATGAGAACGGAGGAGAGGCCGAGGCCGAGGCGGATATGGATATGAACGACGCTGTGACACAGGAGGAACCTAGTTTGGGCGGTGGACAGACAGAAAAGAAGCGGAACAAGAAGAACAAGAAGAACAAGAAAAAGAAGAAACAAAAGACTGCTAATGCGGTGGCAGAGGCAGAGGCATAACAACATTTACATCAGCTTCATATCAAGATACCCACCCAATACAGGCTTAAAGACTTGGCAACATCATATCACAGACAAGGGAGACCACAAGATCAAGTTTAACTTGCTTAGAATAGTATTTGTCTTCTGGTGGTATATACATGCACCAACCATGCAACTCCTCCCAAGAATACAACCTCCATCTCTTAGGTATGCCGAAATCTTCCCCGTCCTTTCGGCAAGGACTAATGATTTCCATAGGATTAAACAAAATGCCCGCCATGGTATCCTGCTATGATTTGCGCTCGTAATGAAGATAGCCTCCGTGACCGTATTCTAGCCAGCTATCCAATGTCCTATACTCCAAATAGGCGTCTCTTCGCCATCAAAATCCAAGTATGTTTATGGCCTAATGTAATGCCGATGCAGGGAAAGTAAGTATCCATGTACAGAGCCCATGTATGTGTATGTACAGGTATTATGTGTTGAATGTTGGTCGTCCATAGTTGAGTTTCAAGGTCCCACAGTTAAACCAGTTAAAATGTTACGTTTTCACCCGTTGGGTGTGATTTACTGCATTCGCTTTCGTTTCCTGTCGTCGTCACCTCTGGGGTCCTCATCCTCGTCTGACCTCTCGGCAGTGTCACTGGGGTTAAGAATATGAGCCATGCTCCCCCTTCGAGTAGGAGGGGCTGAGTGATCTTTCACGGCAAGGTTCTTGTTCTCACGACCAGCAGATCCCCATGACCAACCACCAAATGTGTCAGAACCACCGCCAGCGCCATTTGCAAACGGAGGTGGAGGCGTTGTTGGGCGTGAATGGGGGTGTGTCTGGGACGCAGCTTGTAACGAGTATGTTGAAAATGAGTCTCTGATCCGCTGGTCTTCTGGGGCTACACGGCTAGGCGAGGGCGGCCATGCTCCAGATGGTGCGCCAGTGCTGAAGGGAGAGGGAGTTGGTTGCCAGCCATGGGCTCGAATGTCAGCTGCAGTGTGTCGACGGGCTAGACTGCCAGGGCCAGGAACAGTCTCGACGTTGGATAAAGGATGGGGAGCAGGAGGTGGTGGTGGTGGGCCTGTACGTAACGGGGACGACTGTGTAGTACTGCTTCCGCTGATGGATCCATATGGCCTACGAGTGCTGCTAGATAGGTTGGAGGGAACTGGTGGTTTGTAAAAGTTCTGGCCGCGTGCAGGGGGTACGCCTAAAGGAGGGCCTCGTCTCTGGTCGTCCTGGGCAAGCTGTCTGGGTGATACTGGTGCATTCTCGACATTCGCGAAGTACTGTTGTCGGCCAGTATAAGGTGCCTCCTGCGGTGGTTCGTCGAGGGTCCGAAGTACTTCCGCCTGCCTTTGCATTTCGCCTTGTAGAGCAATGACTGAAGTCAATGTTAGCTATCATTCGCGCTTTCGCAAGCAAGAATACACACCATCACGAGAGAGCGGACTCTCGGCCGGAACAAGAGACAGCATAGTTCTTGAGAGCTCCTGGTTGAAGTGAAGAAGTCGGTTCACAGTGTCCATTGCGGCCTGGCTCTTAACATGCATATAATGAGCTGCCTCTTCGCTCCTCTGCAGGCGATTGCTCAAGTCAAAGAGCGTATGCTCAATATTGAGTAGTCGAGCATCAGCGCTGTCTGGCGGGATAGGTACGGGCTCCGCTGGAGTGCCTGGTTGGGACGCTGCAGGTTTTGTATAGTTGCTCTCACGGTGCACCAGAGCATGTCGACTGGCTCGGCGCTTAATCTCACGTAGGCCTACTAGGTCACCTCGCTTGAAATTGCCGTTGCCATGCTTGAATTCCCAGAGCGTGGTATCAGGGTTTCCAGTGTGGAAGACATCGCGTTCTTTGCGCAAGTTAGCCAATGCAATTGCTCGCAAGTCGTGTATGCTCTAGTACTCACCCTTGTGAAAACCGTACATGTTCAGCTGTCTCACGAATGAAGAAATATTGGTGTGTTTGAAATATTGACTAGAAGGCATTAGTCGAGCGCAAAGTAGCCAGCTTATGGATGTGTTGGACGCACGAGAGAACTTTTGAAAAGTCGGCCGAGGGCGACATGACGAAGCTTTCAGCACTCGCGGACCATGAGATCAAGTGTTGGATATTAGGATCTTCCAGCATGCTGTCGCTAAGTTAGCAAGCTACCGTGGAAAAGCTTGACGGCGCGATCTCACTTGTAAAGTTTATGAATGAAAGCAGTCTGTACGATTTTGGGCTGGTGTACAGCAGCAGCAGCCGGCGGGGGGGCGGGCATGCTATTGGAATTATTGGCATTATTGTTGGTGACATTGTTGGAATCGGGAGCTGGAGAGTTCTTGGGTCGATCGTTGGATTTGCCGTTGGCATCGGAGTCGGAGTTGTTGTTGCCAGTAGAAGATGGCGCAGGTGATGTGATCTCCATGGGATCGCCGTTGCTTGGAGGAGACATCTTGATCGTGGGAGTTGGTATAGGAATTATGCGAGCACCCATTGACTCGCTATGGGGGATTGGATTCGAATGTGGGAAGGTCTCAGTCCTGACGGCCATGTGCGCTGTAGCCATGATGATTAGTCGACAAGAAGGGTCATGTATGTACAGACGAGCCAGGATCAGGGTCGACAGTGCTTGCTATCTCTTAAAGAAACAGAAGATGCAAGGAGAAGCGAATGACAAGCGAGGACGGAAGGAAACGGGGTGGTTAAAGGATGGAGTACATAAATGTAGGTAAGGAAAGTAAAGAAGAAGGAGCGTGAACACAAGGCAGGCCGATGGGGGTGTGAAGAAATAGGAGGGTGTGTAGCGGCTAAACTTTGAGACGACAACGCAGGAAAGGAAAAGAGTAAGGTGAGGTGAGGTAAAGCTTTGTAAAGGGAAGAGAACCCGGAGACAGAGACGGTATCGTGGATGCGAGACTGTGGATCACAAGCCGAGAGACACCGGGGAAGGAGGCGATGGAGAGTGGTAGCGGAGTCGGGATCGGAGCCGGTCTTGAGAGAGATATGTATGTACCATACTGTGCATGAGATAGGCACTTGCGACGTGATACGATACAATGCGATCAATGGGCGCGCAATGGACTGTGCAGACACAGCAGAGTGAAGTCTTGAAAAGCTTACCTCATTCTCAGGGCGCAGAAACGAGTCAGTGGGTTGATGTCGCGCAGCGCAGCTCAACTCAGCTCAAGTCTCAACTGAAGGAAACTTGACTGGTTCAAGCGCTTCCCGGCGTTGGTAGGCGAAATGCGCAGTGTCCCCTCGCTTGGGAAAGAGAAAGGTGACAGGAGAAGACTGGCGAAGGAACGACAGAATGAGATGGGGTAATAGCCCAGGCGATTCGCAGCTGTGCCTGCCAGGTTCTTGGTCATTGGTTGAATTGGACTTGCCAAGACCACAAGCTCTCAAGCCCCAAGCCAAGTGCTTTAGGGAGGTCCAAATTCCCCGCCATGAAACTTCTACCATCCACCCTCCGCTAGCTTCTTTCTCTCTCATCAACCACACCCCAAACCATCACCCAAACATTCAAAATTTGCAGCAATTCTCATCACCATTTCTGATTCTGTCTTCCACTCAGTTCAAATCTTTCACCATGAACTCCGACAACACGCCCATGCAAGGCGTCGTGTTTCAGGAATTGTCCAAGGATGAACTCATCACGCTCCTTGACAACAAGCTCGACGAGAAACTTGCCCCTATCAATGATTCTCTCAAAGCTATCAAACTCGAACTAGAGAGCCTTTCCCAAAGTTGCCACAGCCTCGCCTAGCGTGTCCGAGGCCTTGAAGCCCATGCGAACCGGTTTTCTCTCCCTCCCAACTACAAGGTTTGTTTCTCTGCCAAACAAAGATGCAATTGAGGCAAACTAATTAATAATATAGGGCCCAGTCTGAACTCGGAAATGCGACGAACTAGGATGGACAAGGAGCAAGGTTTCAGAGAGCTGTAATATGGTTTTAGAGAAGTGCATGAAGGAGAGGAGAGGAACATCTCTACATCAAGAATGGTAACGATTAAGCGGCCTCAATATTGCTATTAGGAAGAGCTCAAACCAAATACAAATATTAGCTCGCTCTGTCTCTCTGTCCAAATCACAATCTGAATGCATGAGGCTGGCAGGACTGATTTCTTTTTCTGGAACTGCAAGGAATCCGATGTGATCAATATCAACTGGATCCATGCGCCGGGGTTGGAAATTTGGGGGCATGGCTAGCAAGGAGTCCATGGAGATAGAATGGGGATGGGGATGGCACTCATGGCTACCTACGGAGGAGAGCAGGCTTGCCCAGCTGAGATCCAATCGAAAGCGAAGAGTTGAGTCTCCAAGAGAAGCCCACCCACACCAACTCCAGCCTCTGGCCTTCTGGGCACCCCTCACCCGCATGAGCCTGCATTCATTGTTGCACCCTTCCTTTCCTTCAGACCCTCACGGATACACTCACTCCAGATGTCCCACACCCAGGAACGGAGTTTTCAAAGTACGGCAGCTTGGTTCCTGATGCTATCACTGTTTGGAACAAATTTTAACTGCAGTGACGAGCTGAGAGACAGACGTCTCACTTCTGCCAAATGCAGCCATCCATGGCTCTGGATCACTGCCCCAAGTAATGGCATAATCTATCATGGCCCCATCATTGGAATGGAGTTCCAGCGCCCAGGCTGAAGGAACTCATCAATCGTCTCGGTGCAACAACCAAGACTTTGACATGTCTAGTTGATGGAACAATGGTAGAAGCCAGTATAGCGCCGCCAAGATCAGCACCCGCTTGCACAGTCCCCGAAATCTAGTGGCGGCTTCAGAGACAGATCTGGGATAAAGAACCCGTCAGAGAAGTCGCTCCAAACGGTACCGGAGATGGCAAGAAAAAGCTTACATGAAGAAGGGCCCGGAACATTCAACATCCTTTCCACGACGCCATGCCGCTTCTCTCATACATGGTGTGGCAGCCTGGTGTCTGGAAACGCTGGGAGGCAAAGTGCGATGTGTGGCGCCCAGCCTCGATGACCCGAAGAAGGTGTCTCAAGGTGCATCGACAGTACCAGAAAAGAAAGAAACAGGAAGTTCAGGTATGTTGCAGCGGTCAATAATGGCCTAGACCATTTTTTTCTGTATCGGTAGAAGCAACCAGTGGATACAGTGAGTGTGCGGGTGGAAATGTTGGAGAAGATTATAAGGCGTGGCTCGTGACTGGGTATATACTACGTACATACATTGGTCGTCCCCATCAAAAGCTCAAAAGGTTTTCCTTCTTCCATGCCTGAATCCGAGAGCCTCGTGGTCAAAAACCATGGGGAAAGCCTCAACGTTGCTGCATATGATGGGTCTCTGAGGTCGATCATTTTATTGGAAGCAAAGCCGCGTTGCGAAATCGGAATGGTGATGCATGATCGCTACCAATGTCATGAGAAGCAATAGCTCTAGTGGTTTCTGGCAATTAACCAATACCAATATCTGGAAGACATCAATCGTCATTGAACATGCAGAATGCTCTTCTCTGTGTACCATGAACCGTTAGTCCTCATCATAATCCGCAATTACGGGATACAAGAAGCAGTCAGGAGTATCATCATCTCAAGTCAATCTTTGCTCGGACCCTCTGCTAGTTCTTAACCATGACAGGGCTCCGCATGTGGTACCACGGTGAGTGTGATGTCGCAGCACTTGGTAGAAGTGCTCTCCAGGATCGCGAGATAGTGCATCGACGAGACGAGATGGCGGGCGGGTTCTAGCAGTGAACCGGTTGGGTAAATGGGGAATGAATCTGAATCAACTTGGACGGCCCGGATGACCCTGGCTCAACAAGTCTCCCTGGTGTACGACCCTTGTCCAGCTGGGTACAGTTTCCGCAAATGGTAACCGAAGAGTTTGTGTTGATGATTGAACGAATAAAAGGGGTCCTAATAATTGTGCATGCCTCTGGGAACATCTTGGTGGTGTGCTTTGATTCGACTTTGACTTTGACCTTAATACAGGCACAGATGTTGTTAGATGTACGGAGTAGTCACATGATTATTGTACTTCTTTCGAGATTACTATTTTGCTCCTTCCCTTTCGTCAAGCTATCTGAGGTTCTTTTGTTCCTCTTGGCTTTGTCATTGGAAGGTGCTAAACACTGGCCTTACTGAAAGTCCTTAAAGCAGTCTTTGATTTCCTAGCTGGGCAGGAGACAGGTGCACTTTCTCTCCCAAAGTTCCCCAACCTATCAGGGGCAAGACCTCTGTGTGCTCCGTGCTTTCCTGCCCGTGGTCCGGCTTCTCCTCCGTGGCCCGTCGCCCGTGCGGCCGTGCCCCGTGCTTCCTTCCCGTTGTAAGGTACTTGGTTACGTCTTAACGCTAATCTCAACTCAACTCAACCTTCATGTCCATCCAAAGACGAGAGTGTGAGTTTAGATCTCCACTTCCACTCCTCATTCCCAAGGAAACATTGGATGCAAAAGTTTGCGAAGATACCGATCCAACATCTAATCTCCTATATTTGATAGCCTTATCCACCGATTCTTTAAGGTGAGGCGTTCAGGACTGATTCAAGTCCGCAGAGTCAGAAACTACCTAGAGAAACTAACACTGCAGACAGCTTTTCGAAGTTATGACGATCCGCCAGCCACTTCAACTGTGACCAAGGGCCTTAGTTCTCTCCGCTAGTCGAACCTTGGCGATGGCGTCCGTTGGTCTCAACAACTGAATCTATGGCTGCATCTCGGACAACTTCCCCTAGCTAATATTCAGGCCAGGACCATACGGAAAAAAAAAAAAAAAAAAAAAAAACACAAGCCAGGGGATCAAAGCGGGATCCAAAAAGCAAACTACCACGTTCTGTCAATGGCCGACAGAGACCACAGTGCCTGGAACCTGGAACCTTGTCGTTTGACGGGTTCTAAGCTTGATTCTAAAACGAGCATTCAAAGTTTCCTCGCATGTTCTCTCAATGTTCCTTGAGTGTTCTTGGAATGACGCCTGTCATGTGGATTTTAATCATCTCTTCTTGGAATAGGCTCACCAATGTTCCACAACTTGCTGAGCATGGGCAAAGACCAGCAACACTAAGCACATCGCAATCGTTTACCGTGTTCTAGATCATCCCGATTCAATCAGTTTCTCGTGTAACAGCTCCACAGATCCAACAAGTTGGCATTTAAGTTTGTTGTCTGATGGGGCACATGGGTCTTTGTGAATATCATTGATCATCTTTTGAACAAATGCCGTCAATGCATCAGCTTTCCCCGCAACAGGTATGTAGCATTGTCAACGGTTGAACATAACCGAGTTGGCGATTTGCGAGATGATGACTCGTTCTCATTCAATGCTAATTACTACAGCATGCTGTTCAGTCCCGAAAACATTCCCGCATCAGGCGCATGATCTCTAGCTCCGGTGATAGCGAGAGCCAGTGACAACCACGGAATGAAGAAAATTCAGCTTCAAAGGGCAACCGAACCTATGAACTCTAACTCCGGCTGATGCCTTGTTTATAGGGGGCCAAGTCTTCTGTGTTCACCAGTACAGATCAAGCTGTTTATCCCCGTTTCGCGTATGAAGGTTGTCTCTCTCTGACCGAGTTGAATTTGATCGACAGCAATTTGACCTTATTTCCAAAGGTTAACACTAACAGGGTTCATTGCAGGCAGTTATCGAGTTAAAATTCACGGGCTCTTGACTCATGTAAACTGTACACGCCCCCGACTTTACAATATGTTCTGATATCAGCAGCCAATCAATGCCAGTACGGCTCTCAACCTGGTGCATCTGCTTCAATGTTGAGCTTCATAACATTAGCAATTTTGAAGAACCAACAACTCAACAACGTCACCCAGTCCATTTTCAAATTTTCAATACAGATTTTGGATAATCGTGGGAGCGTTCCACAACAGGCCCGGCGTTACTTAGGTAAAGTGTACCAAATGGCAACACCACTGCATTCAATGCCTCCATCTCAGAGCCACAAGCCCCCCACGGCGAGCAAACCACGGCTCGAACCTGACTTCAGACAATTTAAGATTTGACGCCGGTTCGCCACCAGCTTCAGCCAGTGAACCCAAAAACTCACCACAGACCACCATCCCGAAAAGAGTGGGATGCCAAGCCTCGGACCGATGAATTGGGTCCCTTTAAAAGCATTTTTAGAATGCATATCCCCTGTGTCGGAGGAGGAGCTCGTAAGGCTTCTACTGCAAGGAGTTGTCATAGGGCCGACTTCAATGGCAAACCGATAATGTTCGGTCTATCATGATCTGTTCAGGCAGAGCTCGGAACCGACAGACTACAGTACTATAATAATTACCTAGTTGGAGGATCCAAATGTGGTTCTAGCATTTTGCCTTGATAGATATTGGGGAACAGGATCCACACGGGCACCTGCCACTGGATCTTCTGTCAGTTGCTCTCACAATAGCATATACCTATTGCTATTTGATGAGACACATTGAACTAATGAGAATGCAGGATCATCAACATAACCTTGCGCCAGAACTACGTGATTCTTAGAAAAGTTTGTCCTTCTGTTGGACAACCGTCTCTGTGTTCATCAATCTCTGTGATACTTGATGCGTACCAGGTCCAGTGCAAAAAGCAAAGCGTCTATCACTTCCCCAGTTTGCACGACCAGATCGTCCCGTCCCCTGATGCAAGATCCCAGCATATCGAGCTACAATCTATGATGACTGACTAGTGGCATCTAGCTAGGCGTTCGCGATTCAGGACACGGTTAACGTTTTCCCAGATTACGCATGAAAGCATGACTTCTTATCTTGTAACTGACATTACACTTGTACAACTCATCTATCGGGTGTTGGACATGGCTATGGCGCTCCGTCCGAAACGGGATAATAATAAAGGGGAACGGGCTGAAACAGGGATGCATTTCGGCTCATGTTCAAAACCCGAGGGCATGGATGACAGGGCAGCGCACGTCACTCCCTAGTTGGAAATGCTGTACCAACTTGAAGTTGGTCGTATCATGTACGACAGAAACTGCATAAGCGCTAACAGGTTCTGTGGTTGTCGAAATGTTCGAGAACGCTCCAAGGGACAGTATTGGTTCTTCCGATGACTGGTTTTATGGCACTTGATATTCGCCGCGTACCTGAGCCACTCCGCTTTCGAATACAAGCTTGTGCTGGTATGGGCCGTTTCCTCAGAATTTGTACAGGGAATGAACATGTTTTCGACTCACATGCTAGTAAAAAAAGCTAGCTTTGCTGGGTCTTCGGCAGTTGGTTTTGCTGCATTGCCTTGTTCATCAAAGACCAAGACACTATCGTTTGACATTGAACCCGTGCACACTAACGATGTTACTCTATCCATGACGCCTTGTCAACAGAAAAATTTCTGTTCACGATTTATTTCTTCTTTTGGAATTCCTTCTCTTTCGGCTGGACCGGTGCGAAGCCGCGCCTAGCATACGTTGCGTGTACTGTATCTCCGACAGTTCGACGTTGCTTGCTGACGGGAGAGAAAAAAAACGAAGTAAAACTTTCAGGGTATCATGATCGACATCGACTACCGCGGGTACAACATCCGTCGCATTTCCTCAGACAAGGGGAGAGCAAAAATTTGATATGCTTAGAAATACTCGACATGGTATAACCATGTATTGACAGCAGTTGTCAACCCCTGATTATTAACTCTTTTTGGGTACAGAATTGTTCAGCAGTTGACTATTTAGTCGAGTATTTTGAGACATTAGCCTGATGTGAATACAGGTTATAGAGATACGTAGTGGTTGGAGGAAGCTCAGTAAGTGGCGATGTCGAAGCACTTAGAGCAGTTCTAGCTTCAACATATATCGAAGCTATCATGACTAGTCATAGTTGCAATGGGAGTGATATATAGGGCATACAAGTATATCGGCTGTGTCCGAATTCTGAAACGGCAACAATTCTAGTTAGCAGTGCAGCGTCCTCTCGGGACATTGAATATCGTAGTAAGTCTGTTTCTTGACGGTTGTGATAGACGGGACAAGAAACCACCACTCACTTCGGATCGAAAACGTGATTCCATAGCTATGGCAATGACAGAGATTGACATGAAGAGATTGTTCTTTTGATGTAATGATGATATTCATTATCTGCCATGTTCGAATCCGAACGACAAGATCCTCCAATGCTATACATAACCCAAATCCATATCACGGCATCATCCAGAGTCACCCTTCACATTATGGAAAGTCATCATCTTCCAATCCTTCAATCCGTTTCTCACCAACTTCACGAATCTTTTCTCCCAAGATCGTCCTTCCATATCTCTCAGCCACTCTACCAGCAGCCTCCATCATGCGACCTGTACGGTCTCGCATGAGCTGTACCATCTCCAGCGCACGCATGCCTCGCTCTTCACCTTCACGACACTCGACCGCCAGGAGTTGCAGAAGAGTCTTGTCGATCTCGAGTTCAAGACGTGAGAGTTGCGAACGTTGCGTGTGACTGCCTGATGTAGCCTCCACCAGATCTCGGAGCTGAGCTGCCTTCACGTTATGAAGCATGAACTGCTGCTCGAGCTTGCGAGTTTCTGAAGAACCATCCTCTTCTTCATCCTTGTGTTCATCGCCATCGGCCATGTCAAGATCTTCCGATCCCTCTCGGGCTTTGCGCTTCGTTTTGGGCGCTGATGATATAGGGATGGAGAAGTCGAATTCAGACAGAAGTGGACGAGGGAAATAGGGGTACTGGTCACCACCCTTGAGAATGATACAGTGAAACTTGTTATCAGCTACTGCAATAGGGAAGTACGACTCGTTCTTGCGACCCGAGGCTAGACGGTCGAGCAGTTTCGTGTCTAGAAGAGGCACCCACGAAGCCCTTGAAGGTTGTCGCCAGTGAAGAAGTGTAAGAAGAGTGCCTGTTGAGTCGTAGATACAGGGGTCCTAGATCGCAAGTCAGTCCAGTTCCTTACAATGAGTCCTATGGAGGACAAAACTTACACCATTGTCCGAGAAGAAGACGCTCTTGAGTGTGGCGCCCTCGGGAAGAGCTACTGTATCTTCATTCTGGCAGATCTCGTCTCTCTTGACATTCTCAATGGTGTACAAGAGACGAGTGTTACCATCCGCGCCCATGGGTCCGTTACCCATGGTCAATACGTAATCCCTCCAGCTTGCACATGTCACCATTGGTGTGCTCTTGGGTCTATATACACGATATGGCATGCCAAATAGGGTGTATACTCGTACATAGTTGGCGCTAGTTGTGACTGTAATGAACGACTCACTCAAAGACATGGCTGTCACAGCTTCGTCTTTGGGTAGTTCAATGCGCCAGTCAAATCGTTGCGTCCATGTTTCGTGTGGTCGATAGAAAATGACTGCAGGGGCATCATCTTTAGGTGGACATGAGAAGAGTGTACCATGCTCAGTCAGGCAGGCCTTGTCGTAGAGGAAGGTATCGCTAAAGTGAAAGTCCCGATGGAATTCGTGATCGTAGAACTCAACTGTGACAGTGTGGTGTGAGTCCTGATCGACTGTCCAGACGAAACCAATCAAGTTCAGACAAAGGTACTTGCGGTTCCCTCGCCAGGGAGTCGCTCCTGGTTGAAATGCTTCGTGGTATTGCGGTTCAAGCATATGACGACGCTTATTTGAGGCACCATACCCATCGTCACCGTCCCGAGGTCGTTTCTGGCCTTGTCCAACAGTGTATCCAGCACCGTCATCGTCCTCCACGAAATCGTCGTCACCATATCCATCTCCACCTTCAAGGAATGAGTCAAGACTTCCAAGTGACTCCCTTCGGGGTCTTGTTGGCAGACCTTGTTGCTTCTGACCATTGACTGGAGGCGGTCTTCGGTTCGCAGATAGTTCGGCAAGGGGGTCGTGGATGAAGGGTGCAGGCTGCGTAGCCAGTTTCAGTAGAGGTGAGAACTGGTCTGTTAGGAAATCTGGGTAGATGTAGACTTCTCCATCAGTGGTTGTGAAGGAGAGAATGTTCTTGGTAGGGTGCCACACAACGTCAATGACATTGGAATAGTCGTATCTTGCAATAACGGACTGTGTCTTGGTCTCCCAAATGAGCACCTTTCCATCTTTGCTCGCTGACGCCAGCATCGCACCATTGGGCGACCAGGCGATGGCAGTGATATCAGCCAAATGCCCGTTGGCGAAAGTTCTTTGTTTCTCCCAATCATTCTTGGAGATGATCTGGATGTCTCGAACGGGTGTCGGTAGGGCGAATGCTCTACCGTCTGGGTGCCATGCAACGCGTGTTGAGGTCTCGCTGTCTCCGTCGATAGCACCAATGATACCATCCACCTTTCGAATCAACTCTGGCTCCTTGGCTGTGAGTGAGTATATATAAACAATTCCGTCGGTGCCAGAAAGTGCAACCAATCGCCCTTGAGGATCGAAGCTAACATTTCGTACAGCCCGGGCATGCTCTCGAAGGTGCTTGACCTGTGTGATGTCCTTTGTGTTCACAATCTTAACACTCAACTCATCACTTGCCACGGCACACCATTGGCGATCAGTCGTCAATGCAACATCGCGAATCGGCAGTACAGTTCGAGTAAGGAAGCGCTCAAAGGTATTTGTCTCGAGGGAGTATAAGCTGACGGTGCCGTCCTCAGAACCAACGACAAAGAATTCGTCACCAGCGGCAACAGCCATGTTCTGTTCCTGACAATCATCAATATTGATCGGTTCTCCATCAGATCCTGTTTTGTAGAGACGAATAGTGTTGTTGGAGCCGACTGTGATGAGACGACTTCCATCGGGAGTGTAGGCACAGCGAGTAGTTCCTTGGGTATGGGCGGGCCGAGGCCGTGGTTTAGGGGCAATTGTCGAATCCATGATCGTCGTTGTAGCGTTGATATGTTGGTTCACAAATCAACGCACAATGGAATATTCGCTATGATAGAAAAAGGGCGATGATGGGTGATGGTTGCTTTAGAAGTGGGACAGGCGTTTCTCGGGAGACGCGTCTGAGCGCGTCGCAATTAAACTCGCGGAAAGACCCCGCGCCGTTACAGGAGAGCTCCACTAAAATTCAACTCCACACCTAAAGATCTCCAACTCTTTTATGGCTGCCTACCTACCTAACCTAGATCAAGAGACAGTACCACGAGTTTGACTCACGACAAGCACAATATCTACCACTTGGACTCATATTACGTTCCGATATTAGAACCTGTTACTATAACATATATGAACCTTGATCATCAAAATGCAGTCTGCAGACCGTGATCACTTCTTCGAAACCGAGTACGTATAACAATATCTCCTATTACAAAGCTAGAACTGACAAAACTTACAGTGCTGTTCAAGCTTCGCGGCGACGCAAGGCCGCCAAGGCAAGCAACAAGAATGGCGATCCCGTCATTATGAAGTCCAAAATTCTTGCAGCCGTCCCAGATCCTGCTTCTCCTCTTACCTCTGTGTTCATCGCTGAGTCTGCTGGCGCTGTTCGCCGAATCAACCTCGAGGTATGTCTGAATACTTCCAAGAAACTACATTACTAACTATTTATAGACCTCAGAGACCAAAACGACATACCGTGGTCCAAACGCCCCTGTAACTTGCCTTGCAACAGGAGGTCAAGATAATAAGACTGTCTTTGCAGGTTCGTGGGACAAGGACATCTGGTCATGGGACATTGAGACCGCCAAACCTGGCCGCAAGTTCAGCGGCCATACCGACTTTCTAAAGACCATCATCTGTGCTACCGTCTCAGGCAAGCACATTCTCATCAGCGGAGGTGCCGACAAGAAGATTTTCGTCTGGGACGTAGAGTCAGGCAAACGACTACATACCCTGCAAGATCCCACCACGACAATGCTTGCCGTCCAGCACCTTGCCATCGATCCTGTACTCAGCGATGCTACCACTGTCGTATTTGCCAGCGCAGGCAGCGACCCGCACATCCGACGGTGGAAAGTCACCCTGGACAGTTACGAGCAGCTGCCCGAATCTTTCTCCGACCGCCCCGATGCTGAGCGACTTACCATTCAGGAACACGAGACCAGCGTTTATCGACTTGTCTTTGACCAAATGAGTGAGGATGCAGATCTCTGGACTGCCAGTGCTGACGGAACTGCAAAATGCCTGCCGCGTTCAAGGAACTTTGTCGCTGATGACACGCTCACGCACGGGGACTATGTACGAGGTGTTCTCGTAACAGACCAATGGGTCATCACCGCAGGCCGCGATGAGAATGTCAAGGTATGGGATCGCTCATCTGGTAAGCTGTACTGTACATTGGTTGGCCATTACGAAGAAGTCACCGACCTCGTTCTGCTCCAGGACAACGAAGGTACCCCTCGCAAGGTTTGCAGTGTTGGTATCGACGGTACCGTCCGCACATGGCCACTCGGAAAGTCTGAGCTTGACGAGGTCGTTGTCAAGATCCAGAAGGCTGCGGAACCCAAAAAGGAAGAGGAGGAGAAGGGTGGCAATGTGTTGACGGCCGAGGAAGAAGCTGAGCTCGCAGAACTCATGGACGACTAGACCACCTCAACGAAATAGCAACACTAACAGAACTTTCCCGCCTTTCAGAATAGTTGGGCTCTGACCGACCTTCTCACGGTCACTGTGGTGCTCAAGCCACTGAAACACTTACCATGAGTTGTGTCCCGTGCCACAAAGTTTCAGCTCGAGTTTGTCTGCGGAACATACGACGGAAAGCCGCATTCAGGCTGTGTAACTGTAGGTCTCAAGTCGCTGCTCCGAGCCACGACAGCCTGGATCGTGTCTTAGACTCCGTGTGGAAGTGCTCTCAGACAGTGACCTGTATTGACGGCACCTATCCTTTTCCATGTGTAGAGACAAACACTAAAAAGTATCCTTGTATGCCGCCTTGTACTCATTTACAAGGGCTCAATGCCGATAGCCAACCAGAAGCTCCATGGCTACACTGAAGAGGAATATGTCTCATATGGCTCTGACGTGTTGACCACTAACTCTTTGAACCGGGATGCAACGATCTGTCAGGAAAAAGGAACTGTATTCCCAGGTAACAGGGTCATGGCAAGTGATAAAGTCTGTTGTTACAAATGACAGGATCTGATCCCCAGCGCATCACATCCTCGTCACGTTATAATTTTCCGCGGTGCTTGCTTTTGATTCAGCCGCAAAGTGCTGGTCATAACAAACAACGCTGATGGTTTGCTTTCTACCAATTGTCTGCCGGCGTTGCAGGGTCTATCCTGCTGGATAGATGCGAATATAGCTTTGCCTGAACGCACAAATCGCTGGTATAGCTGAAAATAGGAAGATCGAACACCTCCCTTACACACTGATGTTGTTTTGTTCAAACGCAATACAGAGCAACGATGGGAGTATTAAGCACTCACTGATGCACTCAGCCGTGGTGTTAGGGACTGTTGCCGGACTTGAACTCAAAATTTGTTCCTGTGTAACCGTGAAGTTGCACAATTCATCAAACAAATTTAAATCCCGTTTTGAGCTTCGATGTTCTCGTGGCTTACACGAGCAACTTTAACTTGGAAGTTTACCACAAGCCACAAGCCTGATGACTCTCAACAACAATGGCTCCTAGATGGTCAATGAAGATCTTTTCCAGATCTTCAATGTCACCGTACCATTCCAGCTGATCTACTCTACCGAAAGTCAGCTTCCTTCATGCACTGTAAGTCCAATGCGACCGATCTCTATCGGCCAAGGCTGGCCCCCTTGCTCACGAGAGTGACATATTCAGACATCCTGGCTATTCCCCAAGATTGCAAATTTGTTAAGTTTGCGTATGGAGTACGCTGTTCATTCTCCGCCTCGTAAGTATCCCGGACCCTGTTCAGCGACAATTGCGTCCCTAAAGTGGACCTGTTGTCACGCCGAGTATCCATGTTAGTTCACCGGATTCATAAAAAACATAATTGATCTGAGCTGTCTTATGTTTTTCGGAGAAAGGGAAAGACGTCCCCTTTTCACTAACATCGGCGTCATTTGTGAGTGATCATTATCGAAATGAGCATAAGCCACGTTGTTGTCGGACAGATTTGTCGTAAATGAGAAAAGTTAGTATACTGAATTGAAACGATAGCCATAAGCCACAGGCACGACACGCATTATGACGATGCCTGCCAAACTTCGATCCAGTAAGACATGCAGGCCCTAGTCCGAACAGTCGGAACCCATTGTTCGTCTACCAGCGTGTATTGCATGAGCAGCACCAGTTCGCAGTATGCTTGGCTTCTGCAGGATCGTAAGGTGCTGCAAGGCGTGCTCATACTCCCAACCCTCCCTCTGACAGTCACGAAACGATCGTTGTTCGGTCCAGACGTAGATGGTCCAAGGAGGATTAATAACCAGTATTGCTGCGCCCAAAGCTATCATCAAGTGGTTCCAAAGTTGTTTCCTTTGTCTTTCTAGGACTTGGCAAGTCACACTAGCAAGCAAACAAACAACGGTAAGTGGGGGGTCAAATAGCCGCGCGGTGCGAGGCGTCTCGAGGTTGATGTCATGCTACCCTTGTCGAAAGGATCTAGTTAGTGAGATCGCGAGACATATGATTGATTCAGACATCACCACGACGCTAAAGTCTGTTGGATAGTCGCAGCAACCTGCTACGCCTTGTATCGAATACCGCGGATTGCGCTGAGCATCATTTGTAGTAAATGAGGTAATTACCAGGGCCCTAGATTCGAAGCTTAACAGCCCCGTTTTGCATGCTGATCGGCATTGTGAATATGGGCCAAAGATTGCCAGTTGAAATTTTCGGATTTTCGGAAGACGGTGGCCAAAATAGAAATTTGAAGCCCGTTAATCGACGTGGGGGGATCGACGGTGTATAGAGTGGCCCACAATGCCTAAGGCTATCGACAAAGACTTGAGAACACTATTTCCTTACCTTGCATTTTCCCTTTTCCTTTGATTAGTCCAAACTTGAGTCGAAGCTTTTGTGGTAATTGAAGAATAGCAAACATTGTAATGATCCCGCTTACTGTGCAACGATTGACATATAGGATTCGAGCCGGCAGCTTCCTCGCCCTGTATCGTGTGTAGCCGCAGTAAAAGCCAGTTTAAGCCGACTGGCTTGGGAGTTTTGCGTGGAAGCCGAACATGGGCTGGCCGGTATGACATGAGAGGCTGCAATACGCTCAGTGTTCAATGCCAACCAGAACGTGCGACAGCTATTTCCGGTTTCTGTGTTTCATGTTTTAGCTCAGTGTTTCTTTTGGGGGCTTGAATCTTAAGAGGAATCGGGTAATAACAACCGAACAAGATGATAATTGCTCTCAGCCATATGATATGTTATAGGATGGGGTCAGCTCTATTGTGCATGACCAAATCGTGACCACAAATGCATACTTGGGTTGAAGACATCATAAAGGGATAATGCGTCTCAGCTGAGCCTAGACCAGATCCTGGATCATGGAACATCCTTGACGGGAGCCCTTGCATTGTGGGACTGGGCCGTGAGCTGCAACATGGAACATGAACATGGGTGGTGTCAATCCCTGTAATTTGAGCAAACAGTTTCTCTGCCCCAGACGCAAGACACGCAAGGACCTCGCTACCTTGTGTATTGCCATTGGTGTTTGTGTTGTGCTACGTATGTTGAGTGGTCTCATTGAATGCTTGGCAAATGCGTTGGAGGTAAGGGAGACTTGCTGCAGGTGCCCGATAGCTTGGTTCCAAGTTGCGAGCTGCACAGTCCCAGTCCCAGTCAGCCTGATAACCCAGCCGGCTGGGATAGGATAGGCACTCAAACAGCACGGAAATGGACATTGATATGGACGTTGAAGCTTGGACCTCCCATCCAGTTCATATCGGCATTGTTCTGTTTGGCTCCAGCTCAGGAGGCTAAACAAGCCCAAAAACAACCCTGCAGTGATGAGAGTGATTAACTGGCGGGATGGGTCTCGGCGTCTCTATGCTGTTCGTTCGTCAGGGCTCCTTCGTGGATGTATGGAGACCCAACAGATTCTCAATAAACCGCTAGAGTGGCTTGCGTTTTTGC